GGGCTTAGCTCGTAGCTTCACTGATGCCCTTCCCTCACTTCCCCTTATCGGGAACGAATGTGGTCACCAATCAGAATGTGTATTCCCATTGGATCCCAGCCTTCGAAGGAGGTTTGCCTTGAGGGGACCTGACCACTTGCCTTGATGCCTCCTGGGTGAGCCACTTGTTTGTTCTTTTAGTAATCAGTCGGTCTGCCTATATTGCTTTGTCAGGCATTCTTTCAGGAAGTATCTTCTGTTCTTCTGGCCACTCCAGGCTGGTCTGCTTGTCCTTTCAAGTGGATATTTCCCCTCCGAAGATTATGGATGCTGTTCAGGAATCCACCTGTGGTCTTGTGTAATACAGAGACCCTGCAGGAAGCCCCCTTCACTGGGCACGTTGTAGCCCCATTTTAGGTATTCCAGTTAGTTATAGGCAGAAGACAGACTTACAGGCTTTATATGGTAATATTTCTGGCTATTCCTTTCTCTCCCCCTCCAGTGTCTATTTTATAGTGGTATACCAGGGAAACCAAGATTCAAAAGACAGCCAAGTATCTTAACATTGTTTCCCCCCTTTTCCTCATTCCAACCATGTCTCAATCTCTGTATCCCATAGCCCTATTTTTCCAGGGTTGTGCATATATCATTATTTGCCTCTGTCCCATTTCAGTTTCACATTCATCCTATCGTATTACATTTCATTGCAATGATTGTAATCCCCTCCATGCATCATCAAATAACCAAAGGATACACCCCACAGGCTGGGCACGCCCCCTGCCCCCGGCTGTCAGCAAACAGCTCCTCTCCCTCCCTGAGTCCCCTGTCCTCAGCCACTCCATCTGTCAACGCCAACATCTCTGTCTCCATGTCTGGTTTCACTACCTTTCTGGGAAGGGTCACACTTTCCGCTCTTCTTGCTTGATAGTCCCAGGAACCTCCACTCCTGGGCTGCAAAATCAATCCATCTCCCCCTTTTGCAAAAAAAAAAAAATTCTGCCTCTACATTTCCAACCCTCCTAGTCAGTCCTGATGGCAGGTATTCACTGTTGTACCATAAGAGTCTTATCCCCATTTCCTTTTGTCAGCCCAGCCCCAACAGATTGGAAATCATTCAGTGGAGGTTCTGCCTACCCCTTCCCCATCTGGAACTAGGCTCCCCTTGGAAACCTGTAAGCTAGTCACTTCTTGTCTTTATAGCTCCCCTCCCCATTTTGGGTCTGGACAATTTCCAGCTCTCCTCAAGGTATTTCCAGTCAGTTAGAGGCTGAAGACGGGCTTACATGTTCTCTATTGTGATGTTTCTGGCTACTCCCCTCCCCCCCAACCGTCTATTTCACAATGGTAGACAAGGGAAACCAAGATTCAAAATACAACCAAGCATTCTAACATTATTCACCTTTTATCCCTTTCGGGTCATGCCTCTGTCCCTGTATCCTTAAGCCCTGTTATTCCAAGGTTGTGCATACATCATCATTTACCTCTGTCCCATCTAGCCCATGTGAACCTGCCCGACC